TTAAGCTCATGGGTTCGAGATTAGCCTGAGCAAAAGTAAGACCCTGTCTCTACTAAAAACAGAAAAACTGAGGCAAGAGGATTGATTGAGCCCAAGAGTTGGAATTTGTTGTGAGCTATGAGGCCACAGCATTCTATCCAGGGCAACAGCTTGGATAGAGCTTTCCAAAAAAAGAAAGATTGTCCATAATATCAATAATTGTTAATACTGGGTGGCAGGTACACTGCTGTAAATATCCTATTCTCTCTGCTTTTGTATACCATTAAAATTTTCAATAAAAAAATTATTTTAGGGCAGCGCCTGTGGCTCAAAGGGATATGGTATATTTAAACCCAGCGCCCCGGCCAAAAAAAAAAAAATTAATTTTTCATAATAAGTTTTGGAAAAATGACTTTTTTGCTCAAATTGTGATGAGAGGTTTCTAAAACTTTTATATCTAGTCACCCTACCTCTTAAGGCTTTCTGAAGATAAAATGAACATAATGAAATGAATGACAGCTGAAATGCTTTCTTTTATTACCTCAGCAGAATGAAGACAGCAGCGAGCTGGAGATTTTCAAATTCTGATTCATTGTTTATCTTCACTTTTTTATTGATGCTTTTTATTACCATTATTTTCCCTCTCTTAACTTGAAGCTCCCTTAAAGGTACTAACCCTGTCTGCCTTGTTCACCATAGTGTTCTCACAGTCTAATGCTTGGTATGAGTGAATAAAACCGAATTCAAGTCCCTGTTCTGCAACACTGAGCAAGGACTGAGAATGTTCTATTCTGTACCCATCCTCAGTGCTCAAATGCAATCAATATCTGTGATACTGGCTCAGGGCCTGTAGCTCAGTGGCTAGGGCACCAGCCACATACACTGGAGCTGGCAGGTTTGAATCCGGCCCAGGTCTGCCAAACAACAATGACAACTACAACCAAAAAATAGCTGGGTATTGTGGCAGGCACCTGTAGTCCCAGCTACTTGGGAGGCTGAGGCAAGAGAATCGCTTAAGCCCAAGAACTTGAGGTTGCTGTGAGCTGTGACGTCACAGTACTCTACTGAGGGTGACATAGTGAGACTCTGTCTCAAAAAAAATCTGTGATGGCTCGGCGCCTATAGCTCAACCGGCTAAGGCGCCAGCCACGTACACCTAAGGTGGCGGGTTCGAATCCCCAGCCCGGACCCGCCAAACAACAACGATGGCTGCAACCAAAAAATAGCCAGGCGTTGTGGCGGGCGCCTGTGGTCCCAGCTACTTGGGAGGCGGAGGCAGGAGACTCGCTTGAGCCCAGGAGTTGGAGGTTGCTGTGAGCTGTAATGCCATGGCACTCTGCCCAGGGGGACAGCTTGAGGCTCTGTCTCAAAAAAAAAAAAAAAATCTGTGATATGAATGTTAGTCAAATTACTTAACCTTCCTGAGCCTCAGGCATCTCATCTGTAAAAGGGAAATAATATCTATTTCACTAAGTTGTTCAGATATACCATGGCTAAGAGAACTTTTGCCCATTTATTCGTTTATACGTTCATTCAGTCCACAAATATTTATAAATTCTAGCTTCACAAAAAGTATGGAATAATCATTCCCAGAAAAACAGAACAGTAATAATAAAATGATATAAATCTTAGGCCAAGTACAATAGTTTACACCTATAATCCCAGTGCTTTGGGTGGCTGAGGCAGGAAGATTGCTTAAAGCCAGGAGTTTAAGACCAGCCTGAGCAAGACAGCAAGACTCCATCGCTACAAAAAAAATTTAAAGGCCAGGCACAGTGGCTCAGACCTATAATCCTTGCACTCTGGGAGGCTGGGGCAGGTGGATTGCTTGAGCTCACAAGTTAGAGACCAACCTGAGCAAAAGCAAGACCCCCATATCTACTAAAAATAGAAAACTAAGGCAAAGGATCACTTGAGCCCAAGAGTTGGAAGTTGCTGTGAGCTATGACGTCATAGCACTCTACCCAGGGCGATAGCTTGTGACTCTGTCTCAAAAAAAGAAAAAAAAAATTAAAGTAGCTGGGCATGAGGGTTCACACCTGTAGTCCTAACTACTAAGGAGCTTGAAGCAAGGGAATCACTTGAGCCCAGGAGTTCAAGATGACAGTGAACTTTGATTAGACCACTGCACTGCAGCCTGGGTGGCAGAGCAAAACCCTGTCTTTTAATAAAGAGATAGAGAAAGATGTAAATATGAGCTAAAGGCTCAGCACCCATAGTTCAGCAGTTAGGACACCGGCACATACACGGAGGCTGAGGGGTTCAAACCCAGCCCAGGCCTGCCAAACAACAATAACAAGTGCAACAAAAAAATAGCAGGTGTTGTGGTGTGCACCTGTAGACCAAGCTACTCGGGAAGCTGAGGCAAGAGAATCACTTAAGCCCAAGAGTTTGAGGGTTGCAGTGAGCAGCGACACCACAGCACTCTAACCAGGGTGACAGCTTGAGACTCTATCTCTAAATAAATAAATAAGAGCTAAATATCCATTCAACAAATATTTATGGAGTTTCTGCTGTGTATCAGCACCGTGCTGCTATGTGGTAAGGGTAACTATGAAGGTAAAAATGCCTCAATCCTTGCCTTTGAAGACATTTTCTAGGGCCGGGCACAGAGGCTCATGCCTATAATCCTAGCACTCTAGGAGGCCTAGTAACTGGACTGCTTGAGCTCACCAGTTCAAGACCAGCCTGAGCCAGAGCAAGAAGTCATCTTTAAAAATAGCCAGGCATTGTGGTGGACACCTGTAGTCCTAGCTACTCGAGAGGCTGAGGCAAGAGAATCACTTAAGCCCAAGAGTTTGAGGTTGTTGTGAGCTATGACGGTACAGCACTCTACCCAGGGCGACAAAGTGAAACTCTGTCTTAAAAAAAAAATTTTTCGGCTCAGCGCCTGGGGCAAAAGCGGCTAAGGCGCCAGCCACATACACCTAAGGTGGTGGGTTCGAATCCCCAGCCTGGGCCCGCCAAACAACAATGATAGCTGCAACCAAAAAATGGCCAGGCATTGTGGCGGGCGCCTGTAGTCCCAGCTACTTGGGAGGCTGAGGCAGGAGACTCGCTTGAGCCCAGGAGTTGGAGGTTGTTGTGAGCTGTGATGCCATGGCACTCTATCCAGGGGGATAGCTTGAGGCTCCGTCTCAAAAAAAAATTTTTTTTCTGTCAAATGGATGAGAAAGAAATTATGGTAATAGGTATGTGACATATAAGAATACAAATGAAGACAGCACATTCCCACCAGGGACATTCTCCTACCCAAGCTGATTTCAGGAAAGAAATAGTTTGTTTAACTTCCCAGCGTTATCAATTTGAACTCTCAAATTGAAGCCTCCATGAGATGTTTCTCTTTCACTTATTCATGGTACTAAGGCTACAGATTCTAAAGACCCCAGTGCATGCTGGAAATCTTCCAAAGGAATTCGATCCTTTTGTTTTTCTGAGATTTTGCCAAAAGTCCAAACCAAAAGAGCCAAATGGAGCTGTTGGCTCACCCGATGAATACTAACTGCCAACTCCCTTCTCTCAGTACACAATGCTCTTCTATTTCAAAGAAGGCCCCTCAGCAACTTGTTCCATGTCAATCAATGGCCAAATTAAGAAAGGACGTCAGATTCAAATTTTTCGGATTCAATTCCAAACACAAGACCAACTTCTTGTCCATTAAAAATAGGATTTAATGACTCGCATAAAAACAATTTTTTAACAACTTACCTCAAATTCTTCCCAAAAGCCTTGTTTGACTTTATCTGTGGTCTCAGCCAATTTGCTTAGTTCTCGAACCCTGCTTTCTATTTCAGCAGCATTAATACGAGTTGTGTTGAGGGGCTAATCAAGTTCAGTAGTTGATGTAAATTAAAGAAAATAATTAAAGAAAAAAGTGTTAACGCACCAAAAGAGATTTCTATGTCAATATTCATAAAGGCAAAAAAACAGAGGGTTCACAAGACCCAGTAACTCGCAATAAAAATTTTCCCAATAGGTTCATTTTCTCTTCTGTTTTGTCAAGAGCCCTATTTTTCTGTGATCCCCAACATACACTTTACTCTGCTGATATAAATTCAAACCTATTTTTCTTTATAAATTGACCACACATTATTTAGAGAGATAATATCGTTTGCAATTATCATAAGGGTGAAGTCTTTTTACAGACACATACAGGAATAATATAACATCTGGGATTTGTGCCAAATACTATAGGAGGTGGCCAGTGGGTAGAGTAATAAGTAAATAAAGATTTGATGAGCTGATCATAATTGAAGGTAGGTGATGAGTACAGGGAGGCTGATGATACTAATCTTCCTCCACAGGTTAGCAAAATTCTATATTAGGACTTTTTAAGCTCTGTAAGAAGGAGTTTTAGCTTTCTAACATGCTTACCTGCTTGAGTTGCAGTACTGTACCCAAAGTTTCTACCATAGGATTCTTCTTGTAATGTTCCACAAGATCTGTTAAAGAATCGAACCGCTCTCCTCCACCAACATCGTATTTTAGTTCCTTTCAAGACAAAAAGATGTTTATTAGCATTTATTACTTTCATGTTAAACTGCTGTTTTTCCTGCACTCCCACATTCACTGCAGCATTATTCACAATAGCCACTACATGGAAACGACCTAAGCATCCATCAACTGATGAATAATAAAAGGGGAGGTTGTAAATATACTAAAAGCACAGAAGACCTTGACTATATGAGCAAAGAAAATCTAACTTCGAATGTAATGGTATCTGTTTTCTCCCAGCAGAAAAATCACCCAAAGATGACATTTCACCAAACCCACAGTTCAACTGAAACTTTACCTGACAGCGAATCATGACATGGGTCACTTTAGATTTGCCGTCATTGCTCTCCCCTTTGTCATCACCAGTGCGCACAGAGAGAACAAAATCTCCGGGGTGACTCTGGCTCTCTCGTACAAGAAAGCTACCATGCTTTCCTTTTTCAGTTAGTAATTTCTCTGCTTCTTTCCCAGAGAGGTGTCCATGAAACCACCTAAATTTTAAAAAAAATAAAAATGAATTGAACTTTGCCATGGGTTCACAACATTCCTTCACAAAACTACGACCGTGTTTCCCTGAAAATAAGACACTGTCTTATATTTATTTTTTCTTAAGAAGACACACTAGGGCTTATTTTCAGGGGATGTCTTATTTTTTATTAAGTATTATGCAACAATCTACATTTATTCAAATACAGTTCAGTCATCTTCTTCCGGAACCTGACAGGGGAGCCGACCTTGTCGGTGGGGCTGGCGCTGGTGACATGTGAACTCCTTTCCCCTAGCCTTTCGCACGTGTGCAATAGGATGCCTGCGACTGCAGTTACCACATGCGCACACGCACAAGTGCAAACAGCTGGGAGAAAGGAGCTGTAGCAGATAAAAGGTATTCCAGTCTTCCTTACCGCTCCGCCCCAAAATGCATGGTGTGGCTATGCAGCATATCTGGCTATTTTTTTTGTTGTTGTTGCAGTTTGGCCGGGGCCAGGTTCATCCACCACCCCTGGTATATGGGACTGGCGCCCTCCCCACTGGGCCACAGGTACCACCCTCTATAGCAGTTTTTTATTATAAATGCATAGCCATGCCCATCACTAGGTCTTATTATTGGGGTAGGACTTATATTTAACAAATGCATAGAAATCCTGCTAGGGCTTATTTTTTGGGTAGGTCTTATTTTGGGGGAAACACAGTATATATATATATATATATATATATATATAATCAGTGCTCCTAAATACAATTTTGAAACAGGCATATTCCTCCAAGGAATTGATCAAATCAATCTCATATATGACTGAATGTGCATCCCAAGCAGGCAGGAAAAATGACTAAGATGACTAAGAATCACCGCTAAACTTCTTAAATGAGCTCATAGCCATGTGGAGATAAATATCCTCAATCTTTCTTGTTTTCTTCTAAATGCTGCATTTTAAAAAAAAATGCAGTTTGTCATTTTTATATTACCCAATCCTAAAAAGACAAACTATTTAATCACAGCCATTAAAAGAAGTTATAATAAAATACTGCTATAGAGGGTGGCACCTGTGGCTCAGTGGGTAGGGCACCAGCCCCATAAACCAAGGGTGGCGGACGAACCCGGCCCCGGCCAAACTACAACAACAACAAAAAAATAGCCAGGTGTTGTGGCGGGCCCCTGTAGTCCCAGCTACTCTGGAGGCTGAGGCAACAGAATCACCTAAGCCCAGGAATTAGAGGTT